TATTCCATTTTACTCTTTTTAGATATGCTATTCTATTCTATGATTTTCTATCTATTCAAAGCTATTTTATAATTTTATTGCTTTTATATGCCATTCTAAGTATTCATTATTATTTTTTGCTATTCTATCTTATTCTATGCTATTCTATTATTTTCTATGCTATTCTGTCATTTTATTCTTTTTATGCAATGGTATTCTATTATACGCTTATTAATTCTTTTCTATGATTTTCTATCTATTCTAGCTATTCTATGCTATTTCATTCTATTCTATGCTATTTTATTCTTTTCTATGCTATTCTAGGATATTTTTATGCTTATTTATGCCGTTTTATTCTTTTTTTGCTATTTTATGCTATTCTCTTTTATTTTATTCTATTCGATGCCATTTTATGGTATTATATACAATTTATTCTTTTAATGCAATGCTATTTTATTCTATGTTTTCTATCTATTCTAAGCTAGTCTATGCCATTTTATTATTTTCTTGCTATTCTATGCTGGGCTATTCTATTCCAATTCATTCTTTTTTTTCTATTCTTATCTATTCAATGCTTTTTATGCTATTCTATTCAATTATATGCTTTCATTTCATTTCTAGGTAATTTTATGCTATTCTAGCTTTTCTAAGCTAATCTATTCTATTTTTTTTATACAATGCTAATTAATTCTTTTCTATGATTTTCTATCTATTCTAAACTATTCTATTCCATTTTATTCTTTTTTTGCTATTTATTTTTCTTGTATTTGCTATTTTATGCTATTCTATTCTATTATAATCTTTCCTTTCTATTCTGGGTAATTTTATGCTATTTTATGCAATTGTACTCTTTTTAATATGCTATTCTATTATATGATTTTCTATCTATTATAAGCTATTCTATTTCATTTTTATGCGATTTAATGCAATTTTATGTTATTCGTTATTATTCCTTATTTTTTGCTATCCCAGCGATTTTATACTTTTTTTCTTATCTGTTATCTATCCATCAACCACCATCTATCATCCACTCATCGATCAGGCATCAACCACCATCCATCATCCATCAACCACCATCCATCATCCATTCATCCATCAACCACAATCCAGCATCCACTCATCCATCAACCACCATATATCATCCACTCATCTATCAGACATCAACCATCATCCACTCATCCATCAACCACCATCCATCCATCAACCAACATCTATCATCCATTCATCCATCAGCGATCAACCACTATCCATGAACCACTATCCATCAACCACCCATCATCTAGCAACCACCATCCATCAACCACTATCCATCAACCACCACCCACCATCCATTATCCATCTACTACCATCCATCAACTATCATCCATCATCCACCATCCATCAACCACTTTCCATCAACCACCACCCACCATCCATCAACCACCACCCACCATCCATCAACCACTATCCATCAACCACCACCCACCATCAACCACCATCTATCATCCATCATCCACCATCCATCAACCACCAACCATCACATTTATCCATTGATCCTTCAACCATCATCTACTCATCCCTCAACCACTATCCATCAACCACATCCACCATCCATCATCCATCAACCACCATCCATTCATCCATCAACCACTATCCATTATCTTTTATCCATCCATCAACCACCATATATTATCCACTCATCCATCATCCATCAACCACCATCCATCATCCACTCATCCATCAACCACCATCCATTCATCCATCAACCACCATCCATTCATCCATCAACCACCATCCATTCATCCATCAACCACCATCCATTATCTATTATCCATCCATCAACCAACATCTATCATCCACTCATCGATCAGCCATCAACCACCACCCACCATCCATCATCCATCAACCACAATCCATCATCGATAAACCACAAACCATCATCCACTCATCCATCATCCATTCATCCATTATCCATCAACCACCATCCACCATCCATTCATCCATCAACCACCACCCATTATCTATTATCCATCCATCAACCATCATCCACTCATCCATCAACCACCACCCACCATCCATCATCCATCAACCATCATCCACTCATCCATCAACCACCACCCATCATCCATCATCCATGAACCACCATCCATCATCCATCAACCACAATGCATCAACCACCATCTATCATCCATTCATCCATTATCCATCAACCACCAACCATCAACCACCAACCATCAACATTTATCCATTGATCCTTCAACCATCATCTACTCATCCATCAACCACCATCCTTTCATCCATCAACCACTATCCATTATCTATTATCCATCCATCAACCACAATATTTTATCCACTCATCCATTATCTATTATCCCTCCATCAACCAACATCTATCATCCACTCATCGATCAGCCATCAACCACCACCCACCATCCATCATCCACCATCCATCATCCATCATCGATCAACCACAAACCATCATCCACTCATCCATCATCCATTCATCCATTATCCATCAACCACCATCCACCATCCATTCATCCATCAACCACCACCCATTATCTATTATCCATCCATCAACCAACATCTATCATCCACCATCCATCAACCACCAACCATCAACATTTATCCATTGATCCTTTAACCATCATCTACTCATCCATCAACCACCATCCATTCATCTAATCAACCACAATCCATCATCCACTCATCCATCAACCACCATCCATTCATCCATCAACCACTATCCATTATCTATTATCCATCCATCAACCATCATCCACTCATCCATCAACCACCACCCACCATCCATGAACCACCATCCATCATCCACAATGCATCAACCACCATCTATCATCCATTCATCCATTAT